CAATGGCTATTAGAATTGGTTGAACTTTTTACTCATTGAGTCTACTCATTGCTTACGACGTTTCTATGAGTCAGTGTGTCTGAAATTTGGATGGTTGTATACCTGTCTGCTTCAGGACTGCAAAGGTGTGGTTTGAACTGAATCATGGACTCAAAGTCGATGCTCATTTCTGATATGAATCATCAGACATCATTACTTCATCTTTAACATGAATTAAGTGAGCAAAATATATTATGTTGTCGTATGATATTAATAGTTCAATATTGTCATTTGTTTTGCGGTTACACAGTCTTGTCAATAGTAAGAAAAGTTATAGTTAAAGCTATAATTTAGTCTATATATTAGGAATTAGTGATAGGAAATTATATTGTTACAAATTAAATTGAAATTAGTAAATGATTACTAAGAGGCGAGGCGCGACTGGCAAGAACTAAGGGATGTAATTGTTGAGGAAGATATAATTCCACCAACTAGTTCGTCGTTTTTTTTTTTGGCAAAACTACTTACAGAATATTAGCTATTCAGAATTTGGTACTTGGGATGCTTATTGAGGATGGATAGAGATTTTTTTTTCCTTTGAGAGGGAATGTAGCTTTTCAACTATCACACCTCCGTGTCAGATGCTATGAATGGCAGCCTATCAGTTGGGAGGAGAGTGACACATGGTGGAGTCTTGTGAAGGGTCTCTTGATTTTCTTCATGTTATACAAATATAATTTCCAATTTCTACTTGAGGATAAATGAGAGAGTTACAAGTAGCGCCAGAAAATTGAAATGTTGCACAGTTGTACTTCCTCCGTTTGGAAATATAAATCTCTTATGTCATTTTAGGATGTCCGGAAAAAGTTGTGACCTTTTCCAAAATGGTAGTAATGATTTCTAATATGGCGTACTTAAATTATGTAATGGGTAAAGGGTTGAATTAAGAACTATCACAATCATTGTGAAGGCTTTGATTATGGGATGTTGGGATAATTTGACATAATTGACAATGTACTTGGATAATATGATAATGTATTCCAGGGTGAGGGTGTAATAAATTTACATGAACTGTATGTCTGGCTGTCGTTATAATAAGGAGGTGTATCCTCAATCTTCTTAAGCTGGAAGATTAGGAATCAATTTACGGTTATCTGTCGTCTTCTGCAACACTAACCAGTCTGTGTGGTTATCTGTTAGCCTAAATTCAGTTCTCTCAAGCTCAAGGTCTGTCTTTGGAGTCTTTAAGAAAGCAATAAATGTGCTAGAAGTTGGTGTGCAAAATATATGTACCAGAGCTTTGATGAAATTTCATTTATGTCCTGCTCCCCTAACCCCGAAATAGTAAAATTATATTTTCTGTTTTGTTTTACTTGAATTAAGTGATACGGTGATGAAAAAGTCCAGAACCAACACTACTACTTACATTTGTTACATACAAACATTAATAATAATTAGAAAATAAAAAACACTTTATTAAAACTTTTAGAGTAATACAATAGGTTAAGGTGTCCTTACAAAATATCTTTAAAAAATATCATAGAAGAACTATCCTTTGTGTAATTTGGGATGATACATGGTGTTAGTTATTTCTGACCTAGGGTGCATTAATTTGCTTGTATTTTTGGGATGATAACTGGCTGGCTTTCATTATGATATAGGAATAGTTTTATCATTATATGCTTAATATAAAAGGCTAGCTAGGACAGATCCTAGGATCCATCGCAGTCAACAAGATACACAAAAGTCATGGTTTTGTGTTTTGTTTAACTTTTAACTCCCTAACCCATGATAGCAAGAGCTCAACAAAAGAAATTCAATTCATTCAACTCTCTAAAATAAAGTTATAACCTAAGGTCACTATAGATAGACGTAATTATTAAATTTAGAATATTCCTAAAACTATAAAATTAGGATAAAGAAACTAATTATTCATATCTTACTCGTGAAACAAAGATCACAAATAATACACTAACATAAAATTATATCTTGAAATAATTTAAAGCTAGCTATAAGATATCTTAAACTCTTGCTGGACTTTCATTCGACTAAAATCAAGTCTCTTTTATCTAGTTTTAAGAATCTAACTAACAAATTAATGTAACTATCAATGTATGTAGCAGAGCTTCCATATGCATGCCTAGATCCGAGATTTTTGACAAACCATACCTTATGAAAATATCCATTTTTATCTTAATCTGTAAAATAATCCAAGCCCAAAAATTAAAAAGACTACTTACAAAATTATTCTTGAGTATCTAGTTTACTAGCTTACTCCCATATGCATATCTGGTAACACCATTTTCCTTAATCTTCTTAAGTTGGAAAAGTTAGGACTCAAATATTTTTTTTGTCTTCTTTTGCAATGATGGTCTGCTGTGATTAGCTTTTAACCTAAATTTGTAAGGGTTGCGCTCGAGCCTTGATTGGGGGCACAATAATGTACCAGGGGTTGGTGTGCAAATATGTTATCCAAAGCTATGGTAAAACTTCAGTAAGGGCCTATTTAGAGTGGCTCTATGCCCCTGCCCAAAACAATAAAAATGGTATGTGGATAATTTTTCACAGTTTTTAGCGGCACACTTGATGGATATTTGGATGTTAAAAAAAAAAGGTTAGGCTAAGTTTATGCTTTATTTGGGGAACTACTTTTTGATGCAATAGTGTGAGAAAGGGAGAACTTAGAGCTTAGGTTAAGATATTTGATATGAAGCTAATGAAGGGGAACATTTGGTCTCTTATATTGGAGAAGGAAAGTTTTTTAATCTGTTGCTTCAGCCAGCATGCATCTCTTATGTCTTTCTTTTGACATTTGAAGTTACTAAATTGAATTACTGGCATTCTGATCAGCTCCGATATCAAGATATAGGATATGGGAAGTACTAGGGGTTAGTTTGAAGAAAGTTGAAGAATGAATATTAATATGGGAAAAACCTTTATAAATAGCAAGAGGTGAACGAGTCTCATTGCACTCTGCTTGGAAATAATGTTCTTACTCTCTGCAAAGAAAAACCTGCAGTATTGCTATGCTCGTTTTGGTATCAATTTTGCATTTGATTTTGGTGTGTCCATATTATATAATTTTACAAATAGCCTATAGATAATGTCATGGCTTTACTCTGTTGATACTTATAACCTTGATTTATTCGAGAACCGTGGTGAATGTAGGGAATTTAGTTATTGTTTACTCAAATCTCACTTATTACATGTTACGATATTGTGCTGGCATGCTAGTAAACATCAAAATTGAATAGGAAATATTATTTGTTTGCATATCTCACAATATCATCACTTTTTTAGGTCGAAATTAATAGTTATACTATACTAAGAGTGTTAATGCATTAACTCTTAGTAATAAATAAGTAGTGGAATATTAAGTGTTAAGAGGAAGATGGTGGATTTTTCATGTTTCAACAGTACATAGGCTGGAGAATTTATTTTGTACTTGTTGGTTATGTGTGAGTGATCTCAAGTTTGGTGCATGTGTGTAGTCTGCATGCACGCGTGCATGTGAGGAAGGGCTAGCCATAGAGGTGTGGAGGGAAACTAATAAGTGGCCACTGCCTAACACTCTTACTCTTGTCACTCATAATCTTCAGTTGAGTTTAGGAAACAGGATATGGAATAGGTTCTGAGAATGATGGTCAAATTACATGGTTGCACTCTGCAATCTTTTCATCCCTCAGATGCTCTACCAACTTGTAAATCGCAAACAAATAAATAAATAAAAAATTAAAAAAAACTGCTGCTATTTATTTTGCTTTGGACTGTAAAAGCTTTGGTGCTTATTGTAGTGTGTTCTAAATTTCCTTAGAATGACAGAATTTGATTCACTCATATGCCTGACTGCATGCATAATCCTATTGTGATTTGTGAATGAATATTTCTCTGTTAATATTTGGAAGTTATCTTGACATGTTTAGATTCTGTGTGGACAGCAGTAATTTGTACATTGAGGCCAATGGCCTAATTTGGAAGTAATCTTGACATGACTCGGATTCTGTGTCGTGAAGCAGGAGTAAATTGTGCAATGTTCTAAATAAAATAATAGGACTTAACCCATTATGTATCTTAATAACGATATGTATCATGGGTATCCACTTAACCAGTTTGCATAGAGCTTTAAGATTAGAGGTGGTTAAAGTTTTTTTTTTTTATTATTATTATTTTTCTTTTTATGTACACTAATATGGTGAATATCTTGTCCCAAACAGATAGTTATGGCTATGAGAACAAAAGGAGGAGAGGAGGCTGTTTTCTACATCTTGCAACGTGCACGTGAGCTATACAGATCAAAACTACAGACTAGTGCTGAAGCTGATCAGCTTGCCTCTTTATATTTGCTGAGTGTGTAATTGCTGAAGCTCAGCCCCCAGGAAGTGAACCCTCATCATCTCCATCACCATTTTTCTCATCATCTGCAACACCAAACTGTTCCTAGCCGCGAAATGGAGACTGACGCTTGTGGAACCTCAATTTTGGCAGAGACCGGAAGAAAGCAGATTGTGTTGGATGCCTTCTCCGACGCAGTAGTTTCATCTGTTTGAAGTGTGGTGGTCTTGTTAGCAACCATCGTAAAGATGAAATTATGCTTACTGGTGTCAGTTTTAAATGCACCTAAGAGTGTTCAGATGCAGGTGCTTTGTAAAGCATGAGATTAAAAATTGTCATCTTGAATATATACTACTGTTACAAATGCTTTGTTTCCCTGTTAACAATGATATACCTGCTTTGAAAGGGAAAAACATTCGAACTCCAGGCTTAGGCAAGGCCATACACATGCATTTGTAGATTATGCTGAGAAATGTATGTCGGAGTTCTTGTGATTATATGGGGATGATCTTATAGTAACAAGTTTTGCCTTTTATAGTCTTATATTGAGATAGCGCTATACTGTACATGCATTGGTGTGATCTTTTGGTTAATCATTCTAGTATCTGTTACAACAGTTTGTATAATATATTTGAGTTATGTTGTAAAGTAACACGAGATCTTGATAAGCGTTACATCAAGTAAAAATCTGCCATGTAATCAATCACTTCTAATATAATCAATCATTAATGTGGTACATACATCAAACATGAAAAATCAAACACTAATACAAAGGATTAACTTTTCAATATATTAACAAAATTAATACTGTGATTACACACACTGCAGACTATAACAGACTGCCTAAAGACCAAAACCACAACAATAAAGGGAAATAAAAACCACCCTTCATCCCCATTACATATGTCCTATCAATTGTCAAAGAAATCCTTCTTATTCACAAAGGAAAACCTTAAGAAACGAGCGTTAGAAGCTGTCAGATGGAACAAGACAACTTAGTATCAGATTTCTGAGTTCTGTGCTCTTCCTTGACTGCTCTGGCATACAACTGGTAGCATCATCACAGCTTTACAAGATGCTCCCTTGAGCCAAACAAATCACTTCTACAGAATTGAAGACCAATGCATCCAATTCACCAGCATACCAATTTTCTCCATGATATACATTAAAATACATAACGGGCCACTGTATATAGCATTCTTCTAATCTGAAACAAAAGAAAGGACAATTATAAACAGTGGCACGGTGCTGGAAGGGCATCTTTTATAACAATTGCAGGTCACAATGATTTTAACTCATACAATTAACAGTAATTGCCATTGTACAAAAATGGAGTTTTCCTTAAATAAAAGAAAGGACATGAGACATAATGGTGACATTGGAACCAGTGCAAGCTGTAAACCAGCTGAAAACAAGACTAATTTAATTTATTTATACATAAACCACCCATCACTATGATTCAGGACATGTTGAACCAGCTTGTATCTAAAAGATATGAGAGTTAGATCACTCAGTTTCACCATTTCATTGGTTCAAATGCAAAAAAAAGAACATTAGAAATATCGTAGCTTTGAGTCAAATTGGACATCATTTTTCACAAACTCATTCTCCATTTGTTTGCAGCGAACATAACACGTTAGTTAGGTTTGCATACATCATCCCACCCTGGGAGAAGCCTCTTTTACAGCTAAAAGTAACGATAATGGTGAAGGAAACTTCTAGATCATGAAGATTATGATAAACACCATATGAAGAGCCAGTTACCAGATGCACTTCAAAGAGCATATCAGCTTCACAGATGACTCAACCTGACCCAACTAAACCAGCTCCCTTCTTGTCAAAAAATCCATCCCAAGTACAATTTGAAGCCAAATTCTTCCATACTAAACAAATTCATCAAAGATGAGGCTACAGAAATACAAGGTGCTATTTAATTCAAATGAGGAAAAGCAAAAGAAATCAAAAGGAGAGGGAATTGGAGTAAAAGAAAGGGAAATAACTTTTTTATTTGATTGGTTCAGATGAGAACCAATGGGATACCTGTTTTACATTGTTTGATAGTTAATACAAGAGTAAAAAATAATTTCTACTTTCTGGTGGTTCTGCTTCGAACAATAGAGTTGACAGATCTCGATTCCATCCAAGTATCACTTGGCTTAATCAACAAAAGCAATGAAAGCAACTGGATTGAGTTGTTGTGAATCTAGTGACTACCCCATATTACTCAGGCTCCTCATCTTACCACAAATATCCATGTTGGATTTAACACTCTAAAACGAATATGGACGCAGAACACTTCATTTTGGACCAAAATGGAAATGTTTCATAGCATAGCAAGTTTAACTCTTATACACATAGCAGTGTTTGACACCAATACCCAAGTCCAATCAAAAAAGATTGTGAAAGCCTTCCACTTGGGTGCAGGTGAGATGGGTGATGGTTGAAATTTATTTCAAACACTTCCTATGTTCCCCTAATATTGCAAGGAGAGGGGGGGGGGTATGCACGGAATTTAAGATGAGGAGAGAGGTAGAGGGAAATAAATACAAAGACCCATGTGATGAGATAAAGAAAAAGCATGTGCAAAAAAGGAAATGTTGCGATATTTGTCAAACATCCTAAAATAGTGATTGTTGCAATACTAGGGGAACAAAGGAAGCATTTTTTTTTCTTTTCTTGATTCCCCAATCCCACCAAGGTCATGGATAATGCGTCAGACCTGGAACTGAGGTATCCTTAAACTAGGAAAAAGAGAAGGAAATTGCTTGAAATACCAACCAAAGATTAACCCAGGGTAATAAGTGTATCAATTTGCTTTCTTCCCTTGATTATCGTTAGCCAAGCACCCCTTATGATAATCTTTGATAAAAAATTTAACCAAAAATTATATTACGAGGTTTCTGGTCTAATTCAGTAGCTCCTTACAATAAGTGCAGTACTATATAAGACATTACTTACAGACAATGTAAAGCTTAATGGAAAAATTTCGAAGACCCCCCCCCCAATATATATGGAGAGGACTGCATTACACACGTATTTTAAAGGCTTAGATGAATAAGTGTCATGTAATTGTTGTTGATTGTTACAAATGGCATGACAAGTATTAGTACTTTACAGTTAACAGTACTGGCATGTTATAGCTAACCAGCAGAATAGATAAAAGTGTCATGCAAATGGTGATAAAACGTTTAAAGAACATGATAAGCATAGTACTTACTATTCCAGGCATGTTAACATAATGCTTCGTAAGAATTGATGAGAAGACACTCACCTACATAGGGTATTGCTAGTCTAACTCTGACGTATGCGTGGATGTACGTGGAGGTCAAATTATACAAAAGCACCTCATGAAGAAAGTTAAATCATATCTTTCAACGCCTGAGGCCGAGGCCTTGTCTTCACAATTGTTTCATCGCAATGCTTAATCCATTCTGACAATCTCCATGGTTTTTGCCATTTCCATTTGAACTGTAAAATCCACTGGTGATGACTCCTCTTCCATCTCCATAGCTTACTAGACTGTCCCGCAACTGCTAATTTCTTCATTGACAACTGTCCAAGCGGCACCATCTGCATACAGTTAAACATCCTTTTTCATCAAAGGAACAGATAGGAGAACTCTCACTTAAAGACTAACTAAGAAACTGAAAATTAACCTTTTTCGGATCAATATATGATGTTGCTTCCCTGACTTGTCCATTAGCAATACCAGGAGAATATTTCAGCTGCTTTTGAGCAGGTGCAGCTACTGGAGACAATGGGCCACTCATGTCGTCAAGTGTGTTTTTTAGTGATCCGGGTGAATTCTGCTCAGTGACAATAACATTAAATCAGATTTCAGAGAGATAGATTCTAAAATTGGGGGGGGGGGGTCAACAATCATAAAAAACGATAGGGATTAGAGCAAAATAATTGCACAATTGTTGAAGAATCCAAAGCATTGTCATTCCAAATAACAACATTTAAACAGTATGCCACCTACAGTTTTTCAAGATGCATTCAGAGAAAACTTTTAATTAGAACATTGGGGTTACTCAAATCAACTTACTTTACTCCAGACAGGATAGTTTTTATAATAACTTCATATGATTTAAAAGGAGTCAGGATCAAATATTTTGCCAGGCCTGAAGTTCTTCAGGCCTTTTTGCATTCCTCACAGAGAACAGAGTGATTTATCAGATACCTTTAGTATCAGACAAACTTTAAATGGTTTGCCTGAATATTCATCTTACACAAAATCCTACAAAAACAAAAATACATGTTCATCTCACCGATGCAGATGTGGCAAGCGCAACGGCAGCTGATTGCTCTCTCAATTTGAGCTCCTTCTCCACCTCTTTTCTCCGAGTTTCACTCTGCCTCAAGAGACCAACCAGTTCTTTCAGCTGCTCCTTCATTTCCTTCAT